GCCTTTGCTTAAACCACGAGATACAGTGTTACACACAGACACAAAACTGAAATCACAATATTTTAAAAGACCATGATATAAATGGTACATAAACTTACCCCATAAGAGGATTTTTCCCTTGAACAGAAGTTTCAGTAAAATCGCCTTGATTTTTACCTTTAAAAACTGCTTAATCTATTAGTTTGAATTATATTCTTCCAGGTACTGTATTATATATATTTGGCAAACACCAAACAGAAGAAGGGTTCTACACTGGAAGGAGTTTTTAATTTATGCAACTAGATAATTTGAACTAAAGAGACTAGGGACACTTCAATAGTGCAACTATCTTCATAAATCATGGTTGATCAGGAACTTCTTAAAACCACTCCCGAAAACAATTTCTTTTACTTTGATTATATTAACAGCAAAAGGATTTTTTTCTTTGCAAGTATGAATCTGCAGTAATGTCACATTACTCTTTAGATTATTTTTATTTGGTTATTTTAGAATACAATTGAAATAAGCAAATTTAATTCACCTGGTGTACAGTGTGCCCTCTTAAACATGGATCTGATTGTGCACCTAATAAGATCAGTGGAATCTTTTACATTGTTTTTGTGGTTAAGAAAACTGGGACTATTTTACATTAATGTGAAATAAGTCTTTCAATTCATTTCAGCCCAACCTGTTTAGGAATATTTAGGAAGACCATACATGCAAAGATTTTAACAAGGTCAAATGGTATTTATCTGTAAAATAGGTGGAAGATTTGATATTAAAGACGTTGCCAATAGAGCAAATCATATTTACTAAACCACTACACCACAAAATACAGGAAGCAAGTGTCATTTGTTTATTCCAAAATTTAAATATTATGTTTATATTAACAGTGTCTGACAAAATAAACATGCAGCTTCCTTCTTATTCAAGAAATACTATAAATGAGTAAATCAGTGATGAAATAATTCAATATACCTTTAATGATTGGGGTTTTGCATATCTTTTCCAAGGCAAGCACTGTAGAGCGTCCATTGTTCTTATCTCCGCAAAAGGAGTATCTAGAGAAACGTGCCTTGCAAAGTAAGGGCCTTTTTAAAAACAGTGTCCAGGTATTCCCAGAATGCATGTAACCTCTAGCTAATATGATATACTTAATATTCATGCCCTCCTCCACAGCTGTGCTGATAACAGAATAAGGTTGGTCTGTTGCCAAAACTCACCAACAATTTGAGCGTGCTATTTCAGCAATTTCAGGCAACAGAAACTTTACTTACCACTGAAAACTAACTTTAAACCTGATGTTAAAACCAAATAAGTGAGTTAAATGACATGCTCAGCTGAGGCCCAGGAAAAATTGGCTGAAATATAGTTATTTTTGTGTACTTTTATATATTTAGATTAAAACATTAAATGCTCTCGTAGTACGATTCTGGACTTTATTTCATCAACACAACTCAATAAACTCAACTTCACCATTAATCAGGTTTGTATTAAATTTACCTTGTAGCAGCCCAGGCCTCAGAAGGAAACCAGATACACTCCTTACAAGGATGCCATTAAAACAGAAGGCTATTGATACAGTTATTTAGGTATGTACATGCTTGCCTATACAGCCCTCAGCTGAATGTACGCTTTGGGGCTGTTTATACTGAAGCTCCATGTATGAAAAAGTACAATTAAGATTTTGTATATTCTTTTTTTAAAAAAAACCCTGATCCATAAAAACTGGCTTTAACATTTTTTCCTTCATGCAGATTATTTTCCAGTTTGCTATTTCTGATTTTTTTCCTATTTGCTGTTTTTTAATGTTATTTCTGAGTATCTGAATCTGTATCAGCATAGTTTTTACTACATTGACAGAGCAGTCCAACTGTTCTGACTCAACTACTCAGAAAATATTGGCTGAAAAAACTAATAGCCATCCTTGCTTTCTTATTTTATTCTCCAAGTTGTCTCTTTACTTTTAGAACATCTGTTTCATTTGTCTCTCCAGCTTGTTACTAGCTATTTTTACTTCCAGTTTCCTAGCTACCAGCACCTTGTGCCAATGAATATATAGAGTTAGAATATATTTTCTTTTGAGGGGAAAAAATAATAATAATAAAAAAAATGTCCACAAGCATTCCTTAAATTAATGAAAACACTTCTATCCCTGTTATATTAAGTCAATTACAGCTACCGACAAATTCCAATATAATTTCATACTGCACAAAGAAAAGCGTGTTTTATTTTTTGTCAACTTATTAGGCACATCTTCCCCATTCAATCTTGTTTGCATTGAGGTTTACTGGGTACTTTTCATGGCTCAATTCAAAATTGTGAAGACAATCTCAAAATTGATTCATCATATTTCTAAACCACTGACATTTGTACAATACAAGCATGGCTGTTTATGCACACAACGTAATTGTATCCATATATTCACAGACAATGGATTTTGCTTTTTTCCTTTCTCACTACTTTTTTTTTTTGATGTCAAGCCCCAAAACCGCAAGACTTTACTCAAATTCGTCGCAAGTATTAAAATCAATGGTAAAAATACCATTTTTCTTTTTTAGCTGCAATATCTCTATGAAATACATCTGCAAAACTAATCTGTGATCTAAAATGCAAAATAAATCAGCCAAGTCTGACAAGACAATCAGACACTGAATTACTCTATCTGAATTTGAATTACAGTATGGCCAGCCCATTTAGGCCGTGAATACCAAAGATGCTGATTTCTTAATAGTGCCATAAAACACAACACACATACAAAAAAAGCACATTAACTGTAGCTCAGTTACAGACCTGTGCTAATATTAATAAGACTGCATCCTTGCTATTTCATCCGACAAGGGTAGGAACTAAACCAATTGAGTACCCCAAATCTGCAGCCGATACGGTTAATTTGAAATTGAAGGCGAGCATCCCTTGCACTAATTAAAATGGAAGGAAGAGGGGGGAAGTAAATATCCCAGTGATCTGATTCTGTAATCCCCCTTGTTCTCCCAGAGGAAGAGAGCAGCATCTAGGAACCCTGCAGTATTTTTTACTTCACCCCAGATTTAAAGAGTGCCCTACGCAATAACAACTGCCTAAATTGCTGCATATTCCTAGAAGAAACACTTCTCCTTCATTAATAAAAACCCATACAATTTAATGAAAAAACTGAAATTCATTATCTGAAGTGAGTCGAGGCTCTACCAGGAAACACCAGACTCCTGATGTTTTTCCCCTGTACTTCTTTGGGTGGGGGGGAGATACGAACATTTCCAGTGAAAGCCCATGAGACTGATGGCAGGCTGCCTCTGGGACTGGGAATAGGAAACAGGAGTTACCTACGCGCTCTCCCAATACAGTCACCCTTTTAGATGCACTGAGTAACGGAGGCCCAGTAAGGCTCCAATGAAAATTCTGAATTACTTGGCAGGATTTTTTTGTGCCCGACAGAAAACCCTGAGTGCCCTCCTTCATCGCCTTCACACCGCAGCAGGCTGAAAGTTTCTACTCTTGAAACACAAGAGTTAAGGGTTTCCTTTACTATACCCCGCAAAGACATAGCATAGGTGTGTTTACGGGGGCAATTTGGGATGCCAAAATCTGGGGTGCACCGCTATGTGCCTCACCTCACCATTTCTTGGTGAGGTAACCTTCTTTGAGAAGATTAAATTTATTTAGAAACTGTTCTCTAGGAAAGCACATGCCACAACGTAGCAACCTTCTCTCCTCTTTAACACTTTTTAAAATTACCTGTACTTTGTAGTCATGATTTTAAAATTCTACATTTGTAATACGGAACGAAATATGAAAGAAACTACACTTGCAGAAACCTCACATTGTTAATCTCTCTTTAATTGAGGAAATGATACTCCTGAGACTTGATCAACATCCAATTTTTTTAAAGCGTGACTATTAACTGCATTAAAAGCTTTCATTGTCTCAGCCAGAAAATTATCACCATAAAACACATATTAACGTGTTTTCAGCTTGCCCTCACCATCATTTTTTCTAAGGAATACAAGAAATAAGAGGACATACCTGTGTAAACACAAACTGATAAAATATTTTTCTGAAGAAGGCTAATGTTGCATTCCATTTAAGGTCTGTACTCCTTGATATATAATAAATATTATGCTTATTATAATTTTAGATTTTATTTGCATAGCTATTGTACTGCTATGCACTGTACTGTAGTTTAGGCAGATTAACAATCAGATATATACATACAGATGGAAAATATCACGGTACAAAACAGAAGTGTCATTTGATGATGAACTCTCTAAATATACTACTGTGTACAGCCCATCTTAGATTCTTTATATTTTACAAAGCTGAATAATTTGAAATATTTGGGGCAGCCGCTGTCAGGCAATATTGCCTGGTTTTCCATTTTATACAAACAGCATAGTCTGCCATCTGTGCTGAAGTCCTAGGGTTTACAAAGCGTGAAAAAAGCCTGCTGTCCTAGGCCCTAACTTTCCTGCTGCAATAGAAAAAACACAGAAATTTTAAAAAATAAAAAAGGGCAACAATGCTTAAAATTGAATGTCCTCAATAATGATGCAGAAGAAGCAAGACATTGTCTTGTTTCACCACAATTGGTTCCTCCAATATAAATATAAAAGCTCTCTGAAAAGTTAATTTTGCCATCTCACAAAGGTGTTCTTGCATTGCTAAATGAGCGATGCCTGACTGCTTTGGTCAACGGGACTTTGTAAGGAAATATAGCTGAGCCAGCAGGAAAGGGAAAGTCTATTTCTTTGATAGGTTGAGAAAATTCATCTTGGAAAGTCTTGGTTCCCTCATATTCCGTTTGGTGGGACACAAAGCTTTGGATTGGATCGGGCTAGGCATGGAGTCAAGGTTTGTCTTTGCTGTAAGGAGGAGAAAGTAGCAGCAATAGTGACCTAGTGACGCAACCAGCACTGATGAAAGACGTCAGTGCAAAAGAGTGGTTTGACATTTATGGGCACATACAGCAATTTACTAATACCTGCTGTAAACTGAAACAAGCACGCATTACTTAATGAACTTACCAGCCTGCGGATCTCTCTCTCGCATTCCCGCTTTATTCTATTAATCTCATCCTGATGGGACTGATAAGCCGTGCGCAGGTCAGCAGCCTTCATTTTATCCGCCTGCATAATGTTGTTCAAAGCTTCTTCAAGCTGCTTTTTGCCAGATTTCAGCTCCAAGATCTCCTGTTGCAATTTCATCCGTTCACCATCGAACGCCTTGCGAGCCTCCTCCTTTGCTTCACTCAGCAGCGCTGTCTTCACTTTGTCAGCCGCCCCGTCCCGCAGGACGTTGACTGTTGACTGCAAACGCTGAATTTCACCATCTTTGATTTTCACCATTCTTGCTACCTCCTGCTCATGCTGCCGGATCAGTAGCTCTCTGACACTCTGAAGTTCCTTCATTTTCTCCTCGTGGAGCTTGGCTTTCAGTTCAGAAACATAGGCAGTGTGCTTGTGCTGCTCCTGCTCCCTTTCTTGCTTAACCTCTTGGATTTTCTCTCTCAATTTACCCACCTGGAACATCAAGATAAAATATTGATTAACAATGCTACCGCATTTTAAAGAGTCTTCAAGGGAGCTTTTTCTAAAACATTATTAAAAACTCATCCTGATTGTTCAAAAGCAAAGACTGCATACCTGACGCTTCTCTCTCCAGGCACAACTGGAGAACCAGGGCTGAAAAAAGGCCATGCATGTATGCAGGAATCTGCTATGGAGATGTCCTATTGGCGACAAGTTCTCACAGTTTTAGGCAATAAAATAAAACCGAGCAGCACCCAATCTAGATGTCTCCTTACCTCCTCCACCAACCACCCCAGACTACGCTCATCCATAACCCCTCTGCTGCACCCTACAAGCAGACGGAAAACAAATCAAACTGAGAGAAAAGAGTTTATTCTGGGAAGAAAATGCTCGGAAACTTTCTAGCATTTGAAGGACCATACTTCATGGATGCTCATAGTGACTTAGATCTTCACATACATTCAATTAATTCATTCCCACAACATCCTTCTGTAGCTAAGCAGCACTATCACTGTTTTACAGGTGGGATGCTCAGACAGGCATAGATTGAGTTACCTAATTTACACGTATACTGTCTTTAGGATTTGAATCCCAAATTCCTACACCTGAATCCACTACTTGACCTAAGATACTTCCCGCTAATCAGATGAGAAAGCATCTTGCCTTGAAGAAATAGAGAGAAGAGATCCTATCAACAAAGGGGCGTTCTTATCAGTTGGAACATCAGGAATAAAAACTAAATTGAAGGGGCAGGGGGGAGAGAAAAAAATACATTGATTTTTTATTTCATAATTTCTTAGCAATGGGAAAGTCCTTATTAGATAAGCCAAAAGAATTGGCATGCTGAAAAATTAAGTCTACTCAAGGGGCCTCAGAGAGGACACCCCAAAGCTAAGGCTATTCACACTCCCCAAACGCTTCAGAAATATAGGCCAGTGACTCTAAGGGTTGTGGGGGCAGTAGAGAAAAGATCTTAAAGCCTATTACAGTAATACCCGCTGTGATGAAACCTCATTATAAAATGATGCTCAGCAGGCTGCATAGAAAGCAATGTTTTTTTCCGTGTGGGACTAGATATTAATTTAGAGGAAAGAAAAAAAGAAAAAAAGGAAGGAGAAAGGCTTGCTTCTCTATTACAGTATACCAGAAAGGTTATAATGTATTTCTCACACATAGTGTCAGTAACATCTTTCTACTATCCCTATCACAGTGACTCCCAAAATACGGGCTCTACACGTACTTCTCATCTAAAGCAAAGTCAGAGGCACAGATTTCAAAAACTTGTGTTTTAACCTTGAGTGGCAATACAAGCGTAGATACCAGAGAGTGCTCGGTGGCAAAAGGAGGCTACCGAGCAGCAGGGCGTTAGTCACTGCCACAGTATTCCTAGACTGCTTGCATCTGTGCTATCCCAAAGCTGGGATCTGTAGTCATACAGTGCATTTAATTTATGCTAAACTAAGCCAGAATTGCAACTTGCCTCAGGTTACTGCAGGAAGGATGGGAGATTGTTATTAATATTCAGACTATCATTTACTATGAAGGTATAATTAAAACAAATTATTTTTTGCATGGTTCTGGATGCTATAGTCAAAACAAGAGTAAAGGGTTCACTAAAAGCAATAATGCTAGTTCAGGAAAGGCCCAAACCCCTTCATTATTTTGTTTATTGGAAGCAGGTTGGATCCAAACGGGCACTTTTGTGTGTTTGCTTTAGGAAAAACAGGACATCTTAACTCAAAAGCCTCAGATACAACTTATCCAATGAATCCAGGATTATTACTTAATTTAAGAGTGACCATAAAATGGAGATGGATATGTTACTCATCAAACCCACAGCATTGACAGTAGGATTTCCAGAGTCTGAACTTCACCTGAAGGCTTCAGACATCAGGGACAGCAGACTTTCCCCGTGCAGGAGATGTTATGATCCTGTTTAACCAACTCAAACTTACCCTAGATTTAAACAAGATAAAATAAAACAAAAATAAAAAGGAAACAAGCTGAAGCAGGAGAGGGAGGGAAGGTATCTACATTTTCATGAAAGTAATCTAGATATACCATGGACTAAATGCCAGCTGGGAGAGCACTATGATTACAGCTGTGGAAAAGGTAATAGCTCTGAATCAGACACCATCAGAAGCAGATTTTATTGTGCAGATACTGTTACTTTACTCCAGGATGATTCAAGATAACATATCTTTACAAAGAAAGATTTATTTATTTCTTTTTCTCCCCAAATGGTAAGTCTGGCTATTGGAAATTATCTGCAGGAGATATCCATGTGTTATTTCTTCCAGTGGAATGACATTTAGTTCCAAGCCTATGCTGGATAGCACTGATATTCAGTACTTGAAGTAGGGTACCCAGTTGCGTAAGATAGTCTAAGACTCCCAGCCCTGCCAATAGCGTGAGGGTTGGACTAGATGATCTCTAAAGGTCCTTCCCAACCCAAACCATTGTATGACGCTGTAACAAAGCTAAGCCACTTACTCACCTATTTACTATCACAAGTGAAAGGGTTTATAGATAATTTTGCAAATGAACTAACACTTGTTATTTACTTATATCTATTAGTTATCTCCTCACTGATGAGCAGAGAAAGCTGAAATGAAAATGAGCAACGAAACCTAGTAACGATGACACAGGAAATCAAGCTGTATAATAGCATATATAAACAAGGCTAATATACCTCCAGAACGGCAGTAATTTAAAATTAGTCATATCGTACATAAAGCATGCAACTGAACGGCTGTTTTTGATACAACACGTTTACGAATTTGACTTCCTGAAAGCATTTTAATATACAAGAAACAGATTCTGAAATTTTGGAGGAGTACTGAGTTAAACAAAACTGCCTACTTCCTCAACTTTTTTTTGTCTTTCACTGAATGGAGGGAAGGCAATACCTATATGCATTTTTGCTGTCTGTGAGAACCCATATTAAAGCACTCAGAGTAACTGCATATTATCATATATCACTAGTCATTTTACTTACAAAGTTGCAGCAAGAGCAATGTAAACAAGAATATGAATCCTTCTAAAACCCCTGGATTTTTACACTGCATCTTAAATGCCTATTGCTGCTCACGACCCAGTAAAAAAAATGCATCCTAATTTGAACGTCTTTAGAAAGTCTTTTGTTATTGCTCCTTGTTAGAGAAGATGGAAAGTCAGATCTGTCTGCTAGATCTTCCCTGAAAGCCACAAGCTGTCCTTCCCGCACTCCTTCCATCCCTCTCTCCTGCACACTGTACAGATCTGTACACGTCTGGCTGCCAGAGCAACTGACTGAGTGAAAATAGTAGTGTGGCATTTCCCCATATGCCTAAGCCTCAGTTTCAAAAGGAACTTAAACTTTAAAGCAATTTGTCTTTTTTTTTTTTTTTTTTTTAATTTCCGGCACGCTTTTTTATTTTTTAACGAAGAAAGCTGTTCTGTTCATGGGCAGAATAGGAAGCACAACCAAGAAATTAAGCCAATAGGGAAACAAAGTCAGGCAGGATATCAGTGCAAAACAGGTATTTTCTGCCTTTCTAAATTAAATCTTTAATAATCGGTGCGCATTGATACAACATCATTGCCAAAGCAGAAGCTAGCTTCTTGGAATAATAATGTCAAATGTCACTGCTTCTTCCCTTTCCTATGTCTGAACAGTGCCTGAAAGAAGGATTTTCTTTAAAACAATACGATTGTATTATCATTGTATACTTGCATCTGGTGTTGTTTTCTTTGACAGGCTACTTTGTGCACTTGAGACAGAAATATAAAGTTAATTTTTATAAACTGAAGTCAATGACATAATTTTAAAATCATGCATTTCCTAAAAGGCAATCACCAATTAACCAATACATGTTTCTGAGTGCTCCTGAACCACTGGCCCAATAAAAATGTTATTGTAAGAACTTACTAAGGACTGCCTCATTTTTTTCTCTTGGATTTAAATGTAGATTTTTTATTTTTATTTTTTTTGTGGCACAGTAGTGAATCATTTCCGGGGGCAGAGGGAATACTCTCCACACAACTTTTTGACAGGAACTCAGGTTATGGTAGGCAATTTATTGCCTACTGTGAAAAAGGCAGGTTACTATGGGTGAGGGCAACAAGCGAAGACACTACTGTTTATTCTAAAACCCAAATGCAATAGCAGCTTTCCTTCAGAAACAACAAAAGAATTCTGTATGCTTTGCTTTTTCTTAAAGGTATGTACACTCTACTCCTATTTAAGCCCATTTATAGTGTAATCTAGTGTCCAGCCAACAGCATCCTTTCTATTAAAATTTCAGCAGGCATTAAAAATGATTCACTTAGGCAAGACTGCTGTGGACATAAGCAACCAATGATGTCACTATGGAAAAGGCAGCCCCAACACTGGCCCCATTTTTAGCAACACAATAGCCAAATATTAGGGGTGGGAACATATTCGTAATAGCAACCCAAGAGCAAGGCACTTGTCATCATTTGCAGAGTTCAGTCTAGATTTTAGCTTCTCCAACACATAAGAACTTTTTAAGTTTTTGGTTTGGGGTTTGTTTGTCTGTTTGTGTTAAGGAACAAGTTTCCTTTCCTGACAAAGTTCTCTATTTGCCTACCAATCCCCCTGACCCCCATGGATACCAAGAAGGAATTAATTGGACATTTAACAGTTCCACAATGCTTTGTGCCATGCAATTCCAAATTCAGAAGCTCAGTTACACAGCAGGTTATACAATACAATGAAAACCACATGCTGGGAAGAAAATCTTACATCTTTCCGTAATGACTTTGGAAACTACTGTTTAAATTACAGTAAAGAAATTTACCTTTTAAATATTTTCAAGCTTCAAGGGGAAAAAAAAAAAGATGTATGTTTATTGGTCTTTCATTTAAAAATACTACTGCATCTACACTAGCTTTTCAAAAATTAATTTAACTGTACTTAGATAACTTGTGCTTCGAGTTAGGGAATACAGAGTCAAAGCTGAGGTTGGAGAGAATCTCCAGAGGTAATTTGCTGTCAGCCAGAGCAAGATGCTCTAGACAATGTCTAGTTAGATTTTTAATATGTCCAAAGACATGGCCTTCACAATCTGCCTGAGCAACCTGTTACAGTGTTCAATCACCGTGAAAAACAAAAAAAACCTCTTAAATACCACTTAAATGGTATTTCTCGTATTTCAGTTTGTGCCCACTGTCTCCTGTCTTTTCACTGGGTACCACTGAGAGCATCTGCCTCTATTGCCCCCCCATCCGGTATTTATACACATAGATAACATACTTCCAAGACTTCTTTTCTCTGGCCTAAACAGTCCGAGCTCTCAGCCTTTCCTTGCACATCAGGTGCTCCAAGACAATCACCTTTTTCATGGCTCTTCACCAGATTTGATCCAGTATGTCCATATCTCTCTTGCACTGGGGATCCCAGCATTGGACCCAGTACTCCAGGTGTGGCCTCTCCAGTGCTGAGCAGAGGGAAGGATCACCTCCCTTGACCTGCTGGCAGCACTCCTCCTAATGCAGCCCAGGTACGGTCAGCCTTCCTTGCTGCAAGAGCACATGGTGTTCAAATACATTTTTTCATCACTGCAAACACATCACGAGCAGGTTCGTACACTCTAGTTTAAACTCCACAGGGATTCTACCACCACCAGAAAGATTCCCCAATACCTTTTTACATTCAAAAGCAGGGTCACACAATCCAATACAAACTGATATTTGAAAGAGAAAGAACATATTCAGCAGCATATTTTATGTTTCTCTTAAAAATTTGAATTTACCTTGCTTTTTTAAATTAAAGAGATCATCTAACTGTGATTAAAAGGACAAGAAATAAAAAAAGGCAAATTATCTATCATACTGTACGATTCAATATGGCTTCACTGAATTGCAGCAACATCTACAGCAATATCTTGAAAAATTTCCTCCCTGCAACAGAGTACAGCAATCCAAACGCCTCATTTTGGAAAATGTGTAGAAAAAACACTTTTTTTTTTTTTTTTTTTTTAAAAATACAGATCCAGTGTATTAAATACATTTCCAGTGACATTGAAAAAGGCAAAAGAACAAAACTAGTAAAAGTAATAAATTCTCTCATTCTCTCTCTTTTTGGTATGCCCCTCTACACATAAATCCAATGGCAACTAATGCAGCTTAAGCCTGCTCCAACCACGATCATTTGAAGAATTTCAACAAAATTTAACAGAAATATATTTTTCTGGGCCAGATGTTGAATATTCCTGAGCAAAGTGCTGTGAAACATCACTTATCTAGGCTAACACAAGGTTTCATTGCTCCATATTCAGAGCCAACTCAATGTACTTTAAATTAGACAGAGCAACACTAGCATTACCAGGCTGTAACCAGACATACCAAGTCAACTTGCCATATGCTTCTGAAATTCTGATCTGGCAGGTAAATCCTGCAGAATTCTTCCTTCTCTCCTTCTCTGTTTTTTTTTCTAGGAAGCAAAGAAACATTTCCTTTGCGTAGACACCTTCCACGCCGCAGCTGGCTAGAAAAGGAAAGTATCATTGCCTTCCTAGCAATCTTCCTTCACCAGCGCCAGGGTCAAGGTGTTTCACTGAGTATCTGAAGACTAATGAGCTGTTGCCAGGCCACTGGGAAAGCTCTTCCTGACAAGGTATTTTGCATCCGCATCAATCACGTTGAATCTCTAGGTGTCACTTTTAGTGAAGCAGCTTTGTTTGCCCGATCTTTTTCTGGTTATAAGCTACAAAGGGCTGATACTAAAATTGGAAAGGAATCAGCTTTGCAGTCTCCAGTCACGTCAGAAATCCATTTGGCAGTGGGACAGGTTTAAAAGATTCATGCAGGAGATGTGCAGATCTACTTGGATCAACTTTAATATGTCTACGCTGGTAATGGCATCCAAGGATAAGGAGGAGAAGTGCCAAGCTACCCCAAAAGCTGTCTCTGAAAGGCACTCCACACAATGCTACAGTGGGGAGCTGTGTAGAAACAGCAGCAGTAATCACTGTCCCCCCAAACGCAAACTCATGCTTTGGTCTCCATATCGGAGACTGCTCAGTCAGTCTTAGGGCAATGGATGACTTATAACTGCTGAAAACCTGAACTCCTGCTTCGAAGTGACATGGTATAGTGATGTAGCTTAGAGCAGACGCAAGAGGAGATTACTGTGCAACAGGCTAGTGTCAGAGCAAAAAGATGAAGATGCTCAACATGAAAGGTTGATAATTATTTGAACCGCTTCTGTTTTTCAAGGATAAATTCTCCATTGACTGGATTGCAAGACTTCTGTCCTAAAATGAACAAAATTTAAACTGTTTCAGGGGAAAAACATGCTAAAAATCTGTACTTTTTAAAATACAATAACTTATTTGTGGAGTATTAAACTTGCAAATGTAGATCTTTCAAACTTAAGGAAGATAGTGAAAGATTTCTGGTGAACATGCAGGCCTGATTTAGTCTTTTTATTGGCAGTGACAAGTGGTCATATCAACCCACAACCTAGGAAATCTCCTGGCTTCTTTCCCAATTATAGCACCATAACGCGTCTTCTGAATGTAGCTTTTATCACTCCCCATTGTCAAAGAATCTGACCTGTTCTACCTTGTTTCTGCTTTCAGGCAACCACTTCTCCAAATCTCCTCCTCTAATAAGAGCTTAGAAGTGGTAGAAGCAGCAGGCGGACATGACTCCACCATATCAGACGTTGCTTTGATGGAACTTGTACTCAGTGCTCAGTTACATGGTTTAACGCCAGCCAGCAACTCAGCACCACATGGCTGCTTGTGCACTCCACCCGCCCCGGTGGGATGGGGGAAGAATTGCAGGGGTAAAAGTGAGAAAAACTCATGGCTTGAGATAAAAACAGTTTAATAATTAAAAAGAAATAATAATGATTTTTAAAAATCGTAAGGAAAAGAGAAAAAAAAAAAAACAAAGAGGAGCAGAAAAGGCCTTGATTCTGTGTAAGCCCTGCTCAGTAGGAACGAAAACATCCCTGTATTACCAACACTATTTCCACCACAAATCCAAAACATAGCCTCATACAAGCTACTGTGAAGAAAATTAACTCTACACTCAGTCACCACTTTTCCAGTCCATCTGGACAAGCCTCTACAGCTTGCTTTATTTATCTATGTTCTTACTCATTGTTCCTTCTCCATCACAAAAAGCCTCCTGTGTTCATCCTTTATTCTGTTCACTTGCATAAATATCCTCTTCTTGCATGCTCAATTCCAGCAACAAATAAGTAAAAAAACTCTTTAAAAAGAATAAATAAAAAAATCAAGGCACCACATCTACTGTAATCTTTCTTGCCTCGAGCATTTCCACTTCTTTTAACATAAGCTCTCAAGACAATGTAATAGTATCAAAGGATCACAGAAAATGTGTTTCTGCTCATATCTGAATATATGAAACTTATATCTTTTCCCTGCACTATATTTTCATCCCCTAGAAACTTCTGAAGACTCCAGTGATTGTCCTTTTATTCCAGATTTAAATAGTTTAGGTATATAATTTGATAAGATACATTAAGGCCTTACAGTTCCAAGCAGAATTTTCCTGTAGATCACATTGTAACATCAGACTTTTTTGGATCTCTTGCACTGTGTTTTCTGTCAACCCCCTCCAACATGATACTATCTAGATGGTTTAATTATCACAGTTTCTTGTTGATTCTTCCAAATTAAGGATAATAATTGCTTAATATCTGTCTCACTCTTCTCCAATATCTGTTTTACCTGCGTTGGAAATCACATTATCAAGTCTAGCATATTCACTCATTTAATAATTTTGAATTCTGATTGAAGTAACACTGCCACAATATTCTTAATAATTTCGTTACTTACTGTCCAATGTGATTTTGTTAAGTATTGAGAATTTACATTTATATATCAAGAGTAGAGAACAGCTGCATTCAAATGCCGTTCAACTGCTGTCAGGAAACAACCTACCCAGAGGGATGTGCTTCCTTTTCATCCCAGTCAGTACTGGCAGGAGTAACTATACATGGCTTCACCAATACTTCACCCATTTTCCTGCTCCAAGAGGGCTGCCATACTTCATTCCCAATTACAACACCCTAGTGCCTCGTTGCTGTTCAGTACACTCCTTATAATCCAGTAAATTAACTGGCTCCTTTCTTATTCCATACATAGCAGATGGGAATAACATTCATTTATATATATATTCAGTATGGATCCTCAAATAAACAGCTGTATTTAGAGTTCTTCCATACATACTGGCCATAACTCTTTTCCATACAACTTTTTAAATCCCCAGTAAATAAAGCTGTTTTGACAGTATGACATGCTATCTCTTTCTTTTTTTAATTTCACATATTGAAAATAGATTTTTTTCAACTTACAAGGAATCACTGTTACACACAGATTCAACATCTGACATCAAAGCTCAAAAAAATCCAACAAAATCTGTGAAAAGCAGGAGGACTTCCAAAAACAACCTATAAAATTGTGAGGTAGCAACTGAGCTGAAACATCTCATTTACCCTAGCTCCTAGATGTGTTGTGATCTCAACTCGATAAACGTAGTCACACGCAGAATATGGATACTTAAAAGCAACAGCAGAACTCGGTGAGGATGGAGCAATAGTGACAGCAAACACTAACACCTTGTTATCAGGAACGAAATATTACCCGAAGTGTTGGAAGACTATCTTCTGATGTTTGCTAACCATCTCGTTAGGAATAGGTACTTTGTAACACTTGTTCCTAAATATTCATGGCGCTCAGTATAGGCATTTACAAAACCATGGAGCTGATTCACATTTTCTTGACTCTGACTGCCAAGACCATGCACATTCACTGCAGCTCCTTGTGCTTACTGCACCAGACTTTAAGGTTCCGTTAGAGCGAGTCCTGCCTCCATTCATCTTAAAATAAGTACAATTTTTGTGCTTCAGTCAACTCTTTTTGTTACTCGATACTCATTTTTTGGATGTCTTCCAACCATGCATTTCCACTAGCAGAGGGCACTATGTGAGCCTGTGTTCAGTTCAGGCACCTCCTTCTCCAGGCTCTCCATAAATGGCAGCAAACCTACAGTCCCAAGAGGTCACGCTAACGTATTAAGAGGCTGCCCAAACACATCTAACAAGAGTAAGCAAAACAGAAGACAGTAAAAGGGGAACTAAGGCAGGGGCACAACTTTTGCTTAACCCCTTTGGCAACATAAATTAATCCAGCTGCTTGTACACCAGAGGCTTAGAACACCACCAGCAGGATCCACAACGATGCATATTCAGAGAACTGCAAAACTTATAAATTTTGGATCAGGTATCGCATAAGCATGGAGGGAAATAAATTTACAGGAGAAATTTATTTAAATGGCTCAACAACAAATACAAAAAACTGAACTGTGAAAATATGCACGAAGTTTTGGAAGTCTCTTGGGTGTGATTTTATTTCAAAGAAACCGGTATTTTGCAGGCAAGAAGTATGTTAAGACTAATTTCCACTTGTGATGTCTCTCATCAGTTAGAAGGTTCTTCCTCAGATAAATCATTAATATAGGCATATACGTGAGGGACAAAATAGTTTAGGAGAATTAAATTAAATGAATTGGCCTCACAAGAGTTTGTTACCTTTTCTAATACAGTTTATGTCCCATAGGTTGCAGAGATCTCTCTCTAGCAGCTTCAACACATTCCCTCTTACCTCTATGCCAATAAAGCCATCTAATTTATTTAGAATTCTCTAGGCACAGTGTTTTTATACTTTTTTGATACTGAGCTCTAATTTCTGTTGGGTTTGTTACTCATTTTTGAGCTACAGTCTAAAGAGGAAAACTCTCTATGGCTTTAATTTACTCATCTTGTTAGCCAAGACATCTACATAACTGCTGCACAGAGAGAGCAGGTGCTGCCCCGATGGTGGGGAATGAACTACACGGTTCAATTCTAGTGAAATGATTTAGAGCAAACACCACAGCAAAGGTGTGGGGAAGAGGTTGTAGATTTCTTCCCCCACATCCTCCCAGAAATGCACTCCAATATGCTGCAGAATTTACTATGGACTGCACTGTATATTTAGTAGGATTTTAGAGTACTCCAGCTGTAATTTACTCTTTCATATTCACCTGCACATTACATACGTGAGCTCACTCATTTCTCCGCATACGTATGTGCACAACACACAGATGCGTCTCCAGTAACAACCTTAATACTCCAGAAAATATGAAATCCTCAAACTGTAGAAAGATGAACAGGTAACCAAACTGAAGCAACTCTTACCAGACTGGATACAGGTAAATAAGCAGATTAGTTATAGAAGATGTTCCTACAGCTGTCACGGTCATGTAGCTACACTTTGTTCTTAGCTGAATTGGAGTTAAACATGACACTATTACAGGTAAAGCATCAAACTTGGAAGCATGTCAGGGCTACGTTCTTCTTAGGGTTCGTGTAATCTGTTTGTAGATTTTTTTAGAATCTGAGTAATTTAAACACTCAAAATTAATTCATTCTTCTGTCCAAGGTATAAGATAATTTTATAATTATGTGATATTTTTAATACAATTAAAAGATGGTGATAAAATTCACATCTGTATTTCTACGTAAAAAGTGATACAGAACAAAATAGGAAGACAAAATAACTAAAAAGAAAAAATTACTAACATAAATGTAATGTCCCTCCAAGCAGAAGCACTGAGACACTAAAAATGAGAGTGAAATCATACGATTCACCAACTGGTAAATTCAATTTTAGAGGGTATCAGCCACCAGTAAATTTCATGGTGTGTGATTTTAAGAAGCACAAGTAGTTTGTGCCACTTGTTTTATAATTTCTTCTCATTATATCAAGAGTAGGAGAAGTTGGATGAGGAAGCTAATAGCAAAAAACCCTGACTTTTCTGTTCACTCATCAGTACTGCTGACCTGTAAGAGAGATGACTTTTTGCTTTAGTCTGCAAAGAAGAAAAATTTCCAAGGCAACACAAATTTAGTTGGCTGATATATACTGAACCCACAGTATAAGTCAAACAAGAACTAAGGCTTTACTGTTTCTTTCCTCTGTAAGAAATAAATTCTAAAGATTATATTTGTAAGGTGTTTTTGTTTGCTTTTTTAATTAAAATATGAAAAATAAGATCATTCAAGGCTGAGTATCACACAAGGCCGTTAAAGAAACTAGAACATACAGGGATATTATTATTATTATTATTCAAGCGTTCCAAATTTTACACCAATATAAAGAAAGAAGGTTAGAACAAAGCTATGTTATAGAAAATAAACACATGTTTTCAGTGCATACTTGTTCTACTGATAAGTCCTTGAGACTCTTGGAACTACAGTATCACCAAACACACACAGATAAATCCATCTCCACATGGATTCACCTCCAGGACTGACTTGTGCAAAGTCAAATGCACTAACTGAGATTAATAAACTAGTAAAATAGAAATAACCTTATTGGCTTGTCCATATTTTAAACTGCTACAGAGATATAGAAAAGTAAATGCTAATCTTTATAAATATATATATACTTCATGAATGAACAATTTCTCCTAGGTGTTCTCTTGATTACTCAGGTACCTGTTGAACATGTGCTAGACAGACAAATATTGATGGATCTGTTTCATTAGCAATCGGACACATCATTGAACAGCTCAGAGCAACGGCAGACATAACCTCAGCAAATCACATCAGGTTGCCTACACAGATGATTTCCAGTTAATTCACATTCTCCTTAGGCATGTAAAGTGACATGCTTTGAATACAGTGCTGATGTTTGACTTTGAAGACACTTCTTTTTACAAGCTTTTTCAGTGCTAAGATCAAATACAAAACTCCCTCGTTGCCTTTAAGTCACACTAAGCCAGTGCTGTTAGTAGTGCTGTGACTGCAAATTCCGGTGACTGGATGTTTCGGGATATTTACTTCCTTTTGCACAATATTTGAAATGATTGGCACCAATTTCAGTTTATCAATGGTTCTTCTGATTTCACTTCTTTATCACATTTTTCCTTTAAGGCTAATGCATTTTAGTAGCGAATTAGTTTAAGATTCAAGCTCTGCTGGTTTCTAACAGTGCTACTGTTAAGAATGATCACAAAATATAGACAGACAGATACCTTGCTTTTTTCTTGCTGAAATTCTATCTGGATGTTGGTTAGTTTAGTTCGTAGTTCCTCATTAGCAGCTTGCAAGGCTTCAATCTCCATGTCGGACTTCTCTCCCTTGGCACGACTTTTCTTTGACATAATTATTTTTGTAGTTTAAAACAAGATTTTTGCTCCGCACTGAGCTACCAGATAGTGCCTTCTGCTTTTAGCATTTAAGAGTCATGGAGTGTTCAACAAAGTCTTTGACACAAATCTCTGCCATCGTGGGAGCAGTCTCTCATGTCCTGGAAGAAACAAAGCAGTGGGAACAGAATCAGGCTACAGCACTGAGCAGAATCAAACATCAGACCTAGCATCCAGTTTTAAAGCAAACTGAACTTCCTTGCAGTGTATATTATATTGCATAGTGTACTAGACTTGGAAAGAAATAGATGAGAAAAGAAGTTACACAATATTTCATCATCTTATCTAAACCCTGTCCACTGCAATCTGATGTCCACAGAAATAAGACTCTTTCCAGTTATGAAGAATATAGTATATAAACATAAACCATATCTTATTCAAGACCCGACCTGGTCCATGCTGAGGATTCCCAAAAGGCACAGGGACAACCATAAGTTAACTGAAGCTGGTGGTGTTCTGGTGGGAATACTTTATTTTCTGTATTAAGAAGAAAGCACTTCTCACCTTAATGTGTCAGTTATAATGTATTATTCATAATTATCATCAAGTCTCACAACATCAGGATATATGCTAATAGGTATCACAAGACTGGAAAAACACTTTTAAATTACTTCTTAAAACTATCATATATATAAACTGCTTATGTTCCGGGTTGATACCGTTTGAAATGCCCTAATTGAAACATGAAGGTATTTAACTTGATTTTCATTCCCCAGCATGCCTCTAAGCTTAAAAAGTATTTGGTTATTTAATCAGCTAATATTCAAGGAGAATATCAATAGCAGACAACGAACCCTAATTCCAATAATTAGGAAATCCCACAATTAGTTTGCTTCATGAGTAGTTACGGAAGCTTAGTCTGCACCTTTTTTTTTTCTCTCTGCTTGCATCTAAGAATACCCTGGTGCTCCACAAGAACAAACTGAGCAACAAGTGCTATCAATGCTGGATTAGTTTCCAAACCCACATCCTCTGCTCATTTTAAATATGCACATAATTTTCATCATTAAAGTGCTGACAAAGCAGAGAGGTTCCTACTTTCATACTGAACTACATTCCTGGAGTATTATACTTCCAAGAAAATTCCTCCCAAATTGCCTTCAAACAGTAAGTTGCTCTTTCCAACCTGCTTCTGCTTGGGAGTTATTTTAGAAGTTGTAATATAATGAAAATCACATGCATTCTTTCACACATACTTCCTAAAGGGTTAACAGCTCAGGTGTGTACAGACAAGCACCATTTGGTGAATTAAACTCAAGTTTTATTCTCCTTTTTAAGGACTGGTAAACAAAAAACAAGGAGTTAAATATCTTGCTCAAAATGACAAGTCAAATCAGACGAAAAGTGAACAGAACGCAGGACACTAAATCTCAGTCCGTTTGAAAATATTCCCATGGGGTTCTTTCCGTTATAAAGAGCAATTTAAAAAAGACCAACTATATCAATTATTTGCTGAAGGAACTTAAGTGAAATCATTGTTTTGCTTTGTAATATCAGATGTCTTTCCTTCCAAACTTAATAATCTGTCGATTTATCCTATGCAATAAAATTTAATCTGTTCCTTAATTCATTACAGTGAGTATTTTTAATACATAACTTATGAAAAAACAGGAATCGAGTAAAATTTTATTTATGTATCAAACCTACATTATAAAACAAATAAACACTGGTGCTACTGTGATTTTACACATAATTGTTGATTCAAAAAATAAATTAGCAATATTCTTGCAGTAACTTGAAACACAGAACTCTTCAGCGAGTAGAAGAAACTTGAGGAATTATTGTTCTTAATAAAGGAATTTCCTGCTATTAAACTATGGAGTTTCTAGGATGCTAAAGACTAAAACTAAAGACCATTTAATCAATACATTTCATCCAAAATCCTTAACTGTATGGGATATTGCTAGTGTTATCTTCCTGGTGAATTTGTAAAGAATACCTAAAATAACATAGATGTGCAAGTCTAATCTATAATAATTCCACAACATTTACAATAGTGGAAGGGGAAATGAATGGTTCCTTATCTCAAAGGCTATCTGGGATATTCAGATACTACGGAGGAATTATTGCTGAAATCCTTACTAAAAATTCCTGATGCGGCCAGATTATATATGAGTTAATTCAGTAGATGATTAACTAAGTTAAGGAAACAAAAAAATCCCTCACTGGCCTGAGTGAGGGATTTTATGAATTTTAACCTCATTAGATCCCACCCCTATCTCAATTACAGTTTGGAATAAAGAACATTTCTGTGACAGACATGTTTGCTTCTCCATCAGTAAAATGATGAAGTGAGGTAACTGAGTTTGATGTGGATATACATGACATCCAGAGAACCAAAAGAGAGATCTGAAACGTGGAGTATTTTGAAATTACCACGTATATTTTGTTCAGTAACAATAATCCCTCCTGACCGTACCATGTTCCCAACTGTATTATGAAGATACTAGACCATTCAATATGAACATCCAAACTTATATTTATGCACTTCACGGCATGGGCTGTCTCTGAAGTCCTGGTCATGCAAAATTCTCAGTGACTGCAGAGTTCATACTCTATCCCACAGTCACCATCCCTCAAACCCTTTAACAAATCAGGCACTATGGCAAGGTGCCAGAATGATGCAGTTGTCTACCTTTGAACATGTGGGGGTCTAAATATAATATGCATTATTTAAAGCTGTTCAAACTACATTTAGCACTTAAATCAGCCTTAAAAATAGAGTTCAGCACTACTGTTTGAAGTACTGTTTAGAACATATTTTTAAAAATGGGAATCTCAAACCATTGTTCTCAATCTTTTTCCTGTAACTCACAACAATTAAAGATTTTACTTTTCAGGTAAAATAAAATCTTAGACCCAGAACCTGAAGAAAATCACGCTCTTCTCTTATAGGCATTAAGAAAAGAAACACAAAATACCCCCTCTCCACCCCCCCAAAAAAAACCCCAAAAAGCAACCCATCAACCTGTATTGGTGGGCATAGAAACATTTCAATGTTCACTCTTCCCTAGATAAATCTTGCAGCCTACCTATTTCCAGGAACTGTGGCAACACAAAGCCTCTCTATACACTCAGGGAGGCAAAATGCCCAGACACACAAGGGCTACAGCAGAAGAGAACGCATCTTGATTCCCAAATGAAAGGGTTAGAACCAGTGAGTTCCAAGATTCCCTTCTAGCTGACTACCCACATTTACTGCCAGGATAAAGATCAGGATAAAAAAAAATCCAAACCAACCAACCAAACAAAACAACAAAAAACCAAAACAAAAAAACCCAAAAAACCCAAACTTGTAAACACAGTGAGGAAAAAAAGATGGAAAAAATAATCTACTCTGACAAAATTTGACTTTACTGACTCAGAAGCTTCAACCAACAACCTATTTATTAACTCGCTATATGTCAGTTGAGAGACAAGTTCATGAAGCCACCACAGTACAATCCCACAGTCACTCCATGAATAAAAACAGCCACTTCCTGCTCTGTGAGTTCTATACACTTATTGGAAACCTTAAGGTCATTCAAATACGATGTATTTTTCACAAAAAAAAAGAAAAAAGGGATAGGAAAGAGTAATGGATTCTAAATCACAAGTCACCTTTTCAGCAGTCTCTGGAACACACCAAGTGTCTCACTTTACTTGACAAGTATAGGGGCACTCATAACTCAAGAAAAAGAACAACAAAAGAAATAAACTTGATTGGATTGGAATGAACTGTTCCACAGTTTGGAGCACTGGTGTGTGAGAGATCAAAATATTTAACATGATTAACAAATTACTACTCTATTTGTGTTAGACATTTTGGGAAATCCATTAAATTTCTAAGGTGCCTGGAAACCAATCAGCTGAACAGTGTTCCAATCATAAGTTGCAATTTCTCCTCTATTTACTTTACAGCTTTAAAGGATGCACTTTATCACCACCTCAATCTCTTCCCTGGTTTTAGCAAGAAAGGTCTAGAACTGAGTGATGAATTGCTATCTGATGCTTCTAGACATTAAATATCAATAAAACATAACAGTAAAAAAAAAGAAAAATTAATTACTGCAAAAAATGTGACAGTATTAACAAAGAATTTTGATTACTTAAGAGTAAGAAAAGAAGGAACTTAACAGTTTCTGGTGAAAAATAACTCAATTTAAAGAAATGCAAGTCTTTAAACATGATTCTGTACTGAACACATGAAAGTAACTGGAGGTTATATCTTTAGAGCATGAGTCTTACAGTAATAAACAGGAATAGTAAGTACACCCATAAATTCAAGTAATAAATACGGATAAAATAACATGGTAACAAGAAAAATTTACTAAATGGTGTCACGCAAAATTCAGCATTCCAGTCTTGATTTAGACTTTGGACAACATTTTTCATGTTCAACATGATTTTTGGAAGGTGAAGTTGTTAGTGAGTCACCTCAGATGAAACACCAACCAAAAACACAGGTACAGGGGGAAAAAAAAAAAAAGCTTCTTCATCTGGACACTTCACCACCACATAAACAGTGTTTTTTTCAGTTTAGTTCAACCTTTCTTTTATAACACTGCAGAACCTACTATGGGCTCCCCATAATCCTTATTATGCTTGTGAATGAGACATAAGTACGTACTTAGTACAGCACAATTCTGAATATTCAATAAGTTTAAAATAAATGTTATTATCTTAGTACCTGACAATAGTAAATGCAGTGGACACAGGTACAATGCTAACTTCAGAAGTAACTGCCAGTTCACCTATGTTATAGTGTAAAAACCAGTCATTATCAGACAGTGACTGTATGGGGAAAGACAACGTGCATAGCGCTCAAAGCCCAAGGCTCA